GTTGGACTACAGAACCTGGTGCCCAAAGAGTTACCTGGCCACTGATTCCTCACAAACCACGATTCAGGCAGTATGTGGGCTATTCATAGACAAGGGTTTATTATAGCTTTCTTTTGAAAAGCATTAGATCTGTGTTTTAAAAGGAGGCTCTGACAGAAGACAGTGCTAGACAGCACTTGTCTTGTACTGCGAAGAAGGCTAATTTAATAGAAATGAGGACTAGGTTCTGCCAGCTTTGTTTTTGTTAGCTCTGTCATAGCTATGTGCAATTTCTACAGCTTCTGTCAGCATTGAACTTTACGTGGCCATGTTTTAAATATACATTTATTTAATGAAGTAGGAATTTGAGCTACTCCTACATTATTTTGCATAATTCTGAGCGTTTGTGGCTGCGAGGTCACAATGCAATCATTGGCCATTTGCTACTAGCATGCACTTGGTCCCCTACTTGCAGTAAACCATAAAATAGAAACATTCAGTAATACCTTTGTTACACGTACTCATTCCTGTCAATGGAAAGAAATACTGTATAGAATTCCACAAGTGCAATTCTGCATGTCAACAGACAGACAACAGGCCCTGTGTTGAAGAATTTCATGCAGCCACATTTCTTTTATAGCACTTTTACTTGTTGTTAGGAGATAATAAGATGAAGGAGGGATGCTGGAGGAGGCAATGTCTCCCATACCTCCTGCTCCACCCAACCTTTCCTCCATGAGTGTGATCTGGTGTCAAGCCCTTTGAGGCTGGCTCTCAGCCCAGTCCTAGAATGTTGTCCAGAACAGGAAACAGATTCTACAAGAAGACTAGATATTTTGGGGTTGTTTCTTGGTGGTCACCTCCATGATTCCCTATATTGCAAACTCACTGAACAAGAACTACTTGGATGTCTGGAGTGATTTTTATTGCTTGTAGGTAAATAGAGCAGAACGTCGAAGAAACTCTTTGCTTTTTTATTCCGCATACTCTGCCACGCCTGTGATCTGTCTGCTGGGTCAGTTTTGGACAAAGGTCACCTTTAATACTCTTTCAAAAATGTACCAGAGCCATATTCAAAACGAATTGACAAGGAATGGCCATAAAGGCAATTTGAAAGATGGGGAAATAATTGGTCCAGGATTCTACTTGCATTCACCCAACTATCCCCTGCTGCACATTAAGGAAACTGATTGCTGGATTCATTTTCCACCGGGAGGTGATGTGGACAGACGTATAAACCACACTGAGCAGTTCCAACTAACTACTGCCCTTAAATTATACTGCATTAAAAATTAAGGACAGGACCATTTGCCAGGCTCTTTACTCAGACAGAATAGAATTCAATTGCCAGGACAGTACAATTCATGCTTATATATTTTCATGTCAATTCAAGGATTAGAAGAAAGCACATTAATAGAGCTATTATGAAGCAAAGCAATGAGTGATGAGCTTTGGGAATGGGCTCTTTCAATCGTCATGTTGTAAAAGGACCTTAGAAAGGTAGTATCACAGCTTTCCAGAAGTGGCATTCATGTTATAATATGTGGGGTAAGCCCTGGATGGATTTGGCCACATTCAGTAGAACTTGGAATTTAGCCAGTGATGTTCTGGCAAAAAGTGGAGCCAATGACAAGTTAAAGAGCTAGTGAGTGGACTGACTCTTCAATAATTCCTCTCTAGACAAGAGAGGACTTGAGACATCCCACAAGTGCTCCAGACAGCTGCAAGATAATAGTCTCTAGTGCAGTGTTTCTCAACCTTGGCAACTTGAAGATGTCCGGACTTCAACTCCCAGAATTCCCCAGCCAGCGAATGCTGGCTGGGGAATTCTGTGAGTTGTCATCCGGACATCTTCAAGTTGCCAAGGTTGAGAAACACTGCTCTAGTGGGTTTTTAGCACTGGGAAATCAGGGGAATAGCCATCTCGCTCAAACCGTGGTTGAAAGGACACTAAGTCCGCATAATTCCTTTTTTAATCATTTTTTGAAATTGCTTGCATTTGCTTCCCGCCTATTGAAAAGCTTTGGCTTCAACGTGTTTTTTACAGTGCCAGGTGAATTTTCATCAATTCTTTTTTTTTTTTTAATTTTATTTCCATTCCATTCTATACAATCACATGTTTACTGTGCATAACCGGGGCATATAATATTGAATAGTAAACCCAGCCCTCACTTATATAGAAATTGCCCTCTACAATACAAGCCCAATATACCTCCTTGGCCCACCATACACCCTCTTTCAACCCCCTCCAACTTTCATTCTTCCTTCTTACATACCCCTCTACTACCTACTTCCCCCCCCTCTATCACTCCCTCTCCTAATCCATTCCCTCCCTTCCTTCTCTTCCTCCTCTCTCTCACCCTCTCCACTCTCCTTCTTCTTTCACTCAACTCCTCCCTTCGGTGTACTTCTATTACCTTCCAATATATTCAGCTTGTTCTATTTTAACACTAACATTAAAAAGCCACAGTATACAAGTGGAATCATGTACTTTAGAATTTAACACGTATTGTATTTCCCCCCTCCCCCCAGAACCCCACCTCCCTTCCCTCCCCCTGACTTCCCAGAGCCCGTACACGGTATAGCATTTTAACAATCACAGTCTAAAATATCTCAACATTGAGCTCAGCTTCTTACTGTTACCCAAATTTTAAACAGTTTAAGTTATTACTAATGTTAAACATAAACTATCTGGAGTTTCTTAGTCCCATAATGAGCAGTTTACATTGTTCGTATACATTAAACTCAGCTTCTCACCATTACACAAATTTAAACAGTTTGCTTTGTTCTGTCTATTTCCAAACCCATTAATTTTGTTCCCTTTGTGCCTCCTTCCTCTATAACACAATTTAGATACATTTCGAATTTTTCTTTTGATTTCCTCTTCCAACTCTTTTTCTTTTTCTGTGAAAAATTTTCATCAATTCTTAATGAAATAAATTTTAAATACAAGATTAAGGGCATTAAAAATGGAATAGATGGCAAAAAAGCGATTAAAACTTTGATTTTAAAAAGTTACTAATGGACCAAGGGTCCAGATAAATTTAAAATGAAGTTTTGGAATTAATTATAAAAACTCCTTCCCATGGGAAATTTGTTTTTAATTCCTTTTCAAAAACATAATACAAGTAGTCAATTTGCCACCACAATAGGACTGGAAAATTCATCATTAAGTGGTAGAGCCATTAAGGTAGGCTTCATATGACCCACCCAATATTATGACCTTCTACATCACAGTCATTAAGCAAATCACCGTGGCCATTAGGCAAGATATCATGTGACTGTGACTTGAGACCTTCCCTACTGGCTTTCCTATTAACTCTGCTTGTCAGAAGCTACCTGGAGAGGTTATAAATAATGATCACATGACCACATGATGTTGTGACCATTATAAATGCACAACAGTTGCCAAGCATTTGAATCATGATAATGTGATCGAAGGGACTCTACGAAATAAGTGCAAGGACTGATTGTAAGTCACTTTTTTTCAATGCCATCATAACTTTGAATGGTTGCTAAACTAATGACCATTAAGCAAGGACTATCCATAATCATAATATAAGATGTTAAAAGGTGGACACTTGAGGGTAGTAGAGAGAACTAACGATTATAATTAAAGGAGAAGAACACTCAGACTCAACTCACAATTACAGAATGAAGCCAAATATTTTAACATTGAACATACTGAAGGATATTTTTGAACAATGAATCCAGAAGTTCATTTTAAGAATGTCTACCTCTATAAGATACGCCGTGTCTAATAGATGTTATGAAAGATGAACAAGTTTTACCTGACAAGATTGAGAATGCTTTTAAAATGAATTTAAAAATGACAGGCTTCAAGTATGGAAAAACATGTTACACTTGTCATACAAAACAAACTGACTAATGCTTTAATAATTAAAAGGGATAGGCAAATAACAAAGTGATCTGGATAACTTTCCTATGTTAGATTTGCAAAGAAGACTTGTTAAAGCTTTGAAGACCTTGAGTGAAAAAGGACAAAGAAAAAGTGAAAAGAAACCAAGTACTGTACTAGAAAATTATTTGAAGGGACTAAAGTTCAAAATTGTTATAAGTAAAGGGAAGGAATACAAAGTTGATGTATTTAACCAAGTTAAATTAGATAGTTTATTATCTGTTGCAATGCCTGATGTTTGCCGACATCAGGACTGAAATGATGAAGCTTTAAGGATTAGTTTATAGACAAGAGATGGGATATGAAAGAAGAAATCATTTGTTGTATTTCAGAAAAGGTGACAAGGTACTAAAATTGTTTGTGCATTGTGATAAGGCTAATTCACTTCTCTGCATGTTTTTCTTTTTCTTTATAATAGCCTTATTTTTCCTTCCTATTATTCTTTCTATTTTTCTCTTTTTCCGTTCTTTTCTCCACCTTTGATTTTTTTTCTTTTTAATCTTTTTTTCAGTTTGTACCTTGTTTCCCTGAAAATAAGCCCTCCCCGGATAATAAACCCTCCCCAAAAATATTGCAACACAGCAGCAGCCATGAGGTGACCACGCTTGCTGCCACCTGCACCTCAAAAATAATAACCTCCCTGAATATAAGGCCAAGTGTTTATTTTGGACGTCAAAAGAAAATAAGACCCTGTCTTATTTTCAAGGAAACATAGGGTGGTTTTTTTTGTTATTGCAATATTTAATAAAATTACTATTAAAAAAAGAACTTAGCCAGTGACATGACATAATTGGGAATTTCTTTTTTAATATTATTTTAGCAAGATGCTTATGACAAGATTAGAAATAAATTTGGAAGTAATAATAAACAGAAAAACCACTTTGCATGAATATTTATCATAATTTTAGAGGCAAAGTTTTCTTTTTGTATCTTTCTTTGTGGTGCTTTAGGATTGTAAAGTACTCTGAACTTATGAATGCAAATGCTTATATGCATACATGCCACCTTTAAACCAACATGCATACTGGTTAGTACACTCTTGCCTTCAGCCTATTTCAGTTTTATATTTTAAATGTTATATTACTTTTTTTTCAGTGGTTGCTTGTAACAGTGGACAAAGTAGAAGTCCTGAAGGTTAGTAATCTGCTTCATCACCGGGTTCAGTTTTAGACTCAGGACAGAGTCTGTTCCTCTAGCTCTTTCCTCTGAGCTAAAGGAAGCATATCATGTAGGCAGCAGAATGAGAGAAACTGTAGAGGGAAAGGCAAGATCCTGGGTGACAGATCTTTCATATTTCCATCAAGATCATCTGTCTTACTTCTCAGAAAAATAGTGGTGGCTGATTGAAAGTCTGTTAGCATCTTCCAGTATCTACTTCTCTAGAGGAAAATACCCTTTATGTCACAAGGCCTATCTTATGTCTTTTTCTTAAGCCCCTTAAGCGATTCACGCATAGAAATATAAAATTTACTAATTTCGTAGCATCTCTGTGTGGAATGAGGAAGGGGCACCATTTTATTTTTTTGCCTCAGGCACCAAAATGCCAAATCCTGATTAAGGAGCAAGTCTGAACCCAGTGGGAATTATATTATGTAAATATGCATAAGCTTCACTTGGATCTAATTGTCATGAAAGTATGGGAAATATGTTGATTGGTAAGCTTGTGGCAAATCTTAGTTCAGATTTCAATTTGTCTGAAAGGGGTGGGGGAAGCAAGTAGATATGTCTTTTTCAAGACAAATAATATTTCTTTTTTGATTTTTACTTATGGTTGTGAAGCCCAGCTCCTCTTAAATACAGTACGTACCTTTTCTTTTCATCTTTTCATAATAAGGAGAGGCATGAGATGTACAATGTTAGGGACTCTGAAATCCCACTTACACTGCCTAGCCATGTTTAACCATGGTTTAATAAATAAACCATAATTGGTCCACAAATCTCTTTGAACCTAAAGCAAACCAATCATTACATACACATGTGGTCCCAACAGCCCTGAGAGGAAGAGAGAAAACACTGCAATGTATCTGCCAGGGTCATCATAATTCCTCTTTTCTTCCTATCCAGAAATGGATTTGAGGCTTAATGGTGCAGGCTGCAGATGTTCTGGGTGGCTGGAGGTGCTTCATGCAGCCACATGGAAGAGGATTGACAGCAGAAATTTTACACAGCAGAATGCAGAACTTGCCTGTAGACAACTTGGTTGCCACTTACCCTTCGGGATCTTGCAACCATATGTTGAAGAGTTGGAGAAGCACGAGACTTGCTTGGTGACCTGTCAAGGGAATGAGACAGCTCTCAAGGACTGCATAGCCTGTGATTCCCATGATTTCTTCTCTCTGGGTGTGTTCCTAGTTTGCCAACAAGGTATGTGCAACCAACCCCCTTCCTATTTGCATGCTCTCTTTGAACAAAGTCTGGGTCACATGGGGGCAACCTCTGAGAAACTGATGTTGTGATTTAGTTGAATTGGAAACCAGTCACAGAGGACCGAATATGGATCTTGCCTCATGTCTTAGAAATTCAGTGCAAGAATCTTGAACAGTCACTCAGCTTCAGGAAGGTTACTGCATTTTGTGCCTTGGACCAGAGATTATGAGCACTTCAGTGGTGGGTTTCAAATTTTTTAGAACCCCTTCTGTAGGTGTGGCCTGCTTTGTGGGAGTGGCTTGCTGGCCATGTGACTGGGTGGGAGTGGCTTGCTGGCCATGTGACTGGGTGGGCACAGCCAACTTGTAAAATGTGGTGAAACTCACTTAACAACGCTCTTGCTTAGCAACCAAAATGTTGGCTCAGAAACTGGCATTTGAAGCATGCAAGTCTTAAAGCTGTCAAGTTATAAGACCCTTGCACCCCTAGCCCTTTAGAAACCCCCCCCCCCAGGGTATTCAAACTTGACAGCTTTAAGACTTGTGGACTTCAATTCCCAGAATTCCTCCTTTCGCTCTTCATCTTGATGATGTGCGGACAGGCAGGGAGAGGGAGCTGGAACCAGTTCTAAATGGCGCTGTAGGCTTGTGGAACCTCTTCTATAGACGAGGTTAGAACTGGCAGGAATCCACCCCTGGAGCACTTCCACACTGGCACTGCTTCCCTTCCCTGATCCTTCAAAAACATTTGGAAGAGGATTTGAGATTTTTTTTTTTGCAGCTTCCCAGCATGAGAGCACTGTGGGTAGGAAGTAAACAAATCACAACCTCATAATATGTTGCCTCTGGTCTTGCGGCCATAAAAATCCTCATGATTCCCCTCAACACAGAAGGGATAGAAAGAAAAGACATTAAGTATGAGTAATTTTCAGCACTATGCACCCAGCAGACTCCCTATACCCAGATCAGAGTAAGCACAGACAGCGCTCAGTTCAGTTAGCATGTAATATACTTTGACATTTATTTTTTTAAAATTCAGCATCCTTCAAAAACAGTTAACTGGCAATACACAGCAAAAGGAAAAACAAAAACAGAGAGAATGAAATATGATCAAGGAACAAAAAGGCAAAGGACTTAATGTCAACAATCTACATTGACATGCATTTATATATCAAAAAGGCACAGAGCTTCCCAGAACAATGGAAATGATACAGTGGGCAATTAGCATGGACTGTACGAAAAACAATATTTGGTGATGCTAAATGTCATCTTTCTTATATACACACACAGTGAAAGAATAGAGATGGCAAATACCACATCAGCTGATCCTTCTTCTATTTTGCACCATGAAAAAAAAGACAGGGTGGACAGGGGTAATGCATCAGTAGTGGGATTCAAAACTTTTTACTTCCAGTACTGTGGGCGTGACTTGGTGGGCATGGTTTGTGGGCATAGCAGGGGAAGGATACTGCAAAATCCCCATTCCCTCCCCACCCCACTAACCTGCTTTCCAGCTCCCTTCTCCGGTTCAGGGCAACAAAAGAAGATCGGCTGGGAGGCTGGGAGGCAGCGGGGACAGGGGCAGCCCATTTGCTGATTCTCCGAACTACTCAAAATTTCTGCTACCAGTTTTCCAGAACCTGTCAGAACTGTAATGCAACCAATATTAGGGACCCAGACTGTCCCCTTGAAGGCTCTTCTTACTTGTATCCTTGCTTACTTGCCTAGACTATTGAAGGAGAGGAACAAAACTGTCCATCTGGCTTTTCTCTGAGGTGTCTCCTGCCTCCTCAGTTGAGTCTGAAGCAAGTTGGCTCAGCTACCGAAAAGAGTAGAAAGCACAGGATGGAGGACTACCGTAATTTAGATGTGGCATGAAAATCTTGTGCAGATGTATCTTATGTAGGGCATTTCCCATAGAAAGGCTGAATAAAACTATACAATAATCTTTTCATAAAAGAGAAAAATAAGAAGGGATATCAGTTAATAAATCTCAACATGTTTTGAAAAAGTTGAAGTCTAACTAAAGTATAATGAAAGGGACAGAATGAATAACTGAATTAATGTTCAACTTGCTAGCAAGCTGTGAAGTCAAGGTCATAGTTGAGTACTAAAGAACAAGTTGAGGTGTTCCAGAAACTTTATCTCTTGTTTTATTAATCTAGGTGAAATGTTAATATAGACTGCTAGTCCATGTATATGCTATATGCTATACGCTAAATAAAATAAATGCATGTCTTGGATTGAAATCTTTCTTTCTAAAATACTTTGGATTATCTTTATCATTTCAGCTCCTGTGCAAACCACCATGGTACTCCAGCCTACAACAGCACCAGTGGTAACCTCCTCAAAACCCTTTGGTAGGAAAATCCAAACCTTTGCTGATGGTGACAGTAAGTTAAAATTGTATGCTACCTTCCAACAACTTTGAGTAGTTATTTTTAGATCATTCACAAGAACATGAAGGCAGCAGAACTTTCCCAGTTGTTCCCACCCTAAAAACATTCAGAATAAAAAAAAATATTCTTCAATTAAGATATCTTGATTTTGTCAAATTTTCTCAAGGCTATAAATGAAAACTGCCTTGTGACAACATTGGCTAATGCTGATAGAGTTAATATTCAAAACAGCTGGAGAATATTAGCTGTCTACACTTTATGTATCATATCTAAAGTATTCATAAGGAAGTATTTATGATTTCCATTGGAAAAGTTAAAATACGAACACAAAACCTTGAGTTTGACACTTGTACTGTTAAACGTACTACTGCTCCATTAATTGATCAGTGCCTTACGTTACCTTTCACAGATCACCCAAGGACAAACATTGAAGAAGGAACCTCCTTGTGTTCAGGGATTCAGGAGCCAGATGTTAAAGGCTACGAGAAAATGCTTTGCCTGAGTTTACTAAGATGGTGGGATAAACTGGTACCCAGGACCTGCCAGGGAGTAAACTGTGAAAAACCAGGACACAAGGATAAGAACAGGGAAAAGTCACTGCACCACTGGGAGAAGCTGCAGTGTGAGAAAAGAAATCTTAGCATGGGTAACTGCTCAGCAAGCACACAAGAGTGCTTACATCTAACCCTGGTTAGATGCTCAGGTGAGCAAACCTTACTAGGAGAGCACCGTCAATCCCTGTGCTGCTTTTCACTTGTGCTCATCATTTAAATTATACAAAATTGGTCTTTCAGTGCAATTATGGGAGAGCAATTTTGTTCAAAGTGGTTGAGTAATGCACTACAATTCTGGAACTGTACCAGCTTATGAAGGAATGGTTATATTTTCTAGTTTCCATCCCCATTTTTCAAAAAAGAACTTCCCTGTACTATGGGAAGAGGAATTTTGTTCCTAAAATGCTGGATCTACTACATTCTAAAAATATGGGTCTACCTCTTCCCATAGTTATCACAAACAGTAACATCCAGAATTCTGCAAGCTCACGATGTCCCCCAATACTATGAAAGTTAGCTCTTTGTTTCTTGAATAATCTGAAAGGGAGGTTTGAATTATACTGATAAGAAAACTGTCAACCTAGTATTCTGAACCTGGATGTTCAGAGGTAACCTAATGGGTGATAGATGGTATCTGGTAGCTAGTATCTAAATGATATTTATAGTGGAATCATTCCAGTACATGAATTATTTCTGTACAGTCAGGCTAAATGCTGGAAGGAGGGGAGGAATGAAGATATGCAAAAAGGAGGAGGGAGGATGGGAATCATTCTGGTGCTGAAATATTGAATGAAAGGGCCTAAAAGCAATAGTATTTCTCTGAAAATGAGCTTGTTGCTATTGAAGATATAGAGTTCTTTCAGATCTAGCTACAGTCCCAGGATCTATGTGAAATGAGTTATCATCTGCATCTTAGCAGGGGCTTGCAATTATAAGTAATTTCAGTATTTCTGTGTAACATCGTATTTGTAGGCAAGGAAATGTTTCATGGCAGGAAATGTAACTTCTGCAGGGGCAATGTATTGCACTCTGTGCTTAAATCCTATAATCCTTTTGAAAGGAGACTTGATCCATGCTGGCTCACCCTATGTAATCCTTTTGGGAATCCTGTCGCAACAGAACTGCCAGTATGCCAGCATTGGGAACTTAAAGGACAGTGGAAGGCTTCTAAATCAGTTCTTGGCCATCCTGAAAAGACTGCAAAAATCAGTGATTGGTAGATGATTCTTTCCAAATTTTAGACTCACAAACCTATAGATATGATTGTTTTCATAGCATCTTGATAACCAAATAGAACTGCAAATAATCCAGAGAACCTCATCAAGTCTTCAGCACATTTTCAACAAGTTGGGAAGTAGAAAGCCTAGCTGACATGAAAAGTCCATAATCTATAGGATTTTCTGTTTCTCCAGATCAAGATTTGAAGTCCCAGAAATCCAGTTCAGAGACTGTCTTAGGAATCCTGCTTGGTCTTGTTCTTATTGTCGGTCTTCTGAGTATCTGCGCTCTTCCTACCTACAAAAAAGTTATGAAAAAATGTAAGTAAGAATGTATCGTTTATATAAAGAGATTTTCAGAGTCTGTTTTGGGCTTCAGTTTTGTGTGTTTGTGTGTGCTCTAACAACCACGTGAAAAAAATGTGTGGAACTCCAGAAAAAAAGCATGATAACATGCTTTTTCCCAGAGACTGGTAGGTCAAGCTGAAGAAACTGGCTTAGAAGCTCCATTGATTGCACCAGGAATTTTCTGGTTTCATTCTAGGGCCACTGTATGCTATATTGCACTCTCTACTCAACTCTATGCACGTGTACCCCTTTCTTTTTTAGGTATCCTGATGGCACCAGTTTGCATGGTGTATTTTTGTCCATACGCCTTCATTTAAATTTTACCTTCTGCCATCTAGAAATGTCTTGAAAATAAACCCCATTAATATCAAAGATGTTAATCCCTGCATCAGATTCCCTCTAGGTTTAGATGTTCTCTCAATAAAATAAAATATATGTAGCTCAGGACTGAACTGTGAACTCCCTGAGCTTGGTAGTTTGCTTGCAGACATTTCATTACCCCACTGGATGACATAACTAATCCTTTTTTGGGGGGAGGGGGAATGATGTTACCTAGGTGGTTAAGCAAATAATGAAGCTTGGAGAGCAAAAAAGAACTCCATAGATGGATACTGCTGGGCCCATTTTGTCTCTGCTTATTGTTTCCATCTCACCTGTTTCTCAGCAGGTCAAAAAAATATATGATGACTATACAGATGTTTCCTAGCAGTACCTGGCATTAATTAATAGTTCTTCTATTATGGAATTATAGCTTTTTTCAACACTGCTGGAAGGATACTATGCATGTTCAAAACCTTCTGGGAACATTGACAGCCTGAGTATACTACCTGAGTATACTACCTGAGTATACTACCTACCTGATTTTATAAAATCCTTTCTATTCATCACAATTTTTGGAATGTAGTTAATAACAATGAATGGGAACGTTCTTCATGCTTTTTATTAGCATGCAAGCATACAGCTCTACCAAAAAAAATAAACAGGATCTTTCTGATTACAGCCATTAATCACTTCAAAATATCAGTGACTCCTTAATATTACATTTCACGTCAGAGTATTTTACTATTAATTATGTCTGGGTTGGAAGTGATTACTGCTGTTTAAAAGATAAATTTAAAGGCCATCCAGAGGAGGTTTAAAAGGTTCCTGCAGCAAAGAGTAGAGTGAATTTATTCTGAGCAGTGATAGTCAGCTGTTTCATAAGTCATTACTGAGGTCAAAAGCAAATCTATCTAAAAAGATATAAAAAGCTAGATTGTGATAACTGTACTGGCAATGAGTCTATTACTTTACTGTCTTCTTTTAAAAAAACCAGACTTCCTGCATAGCCAGGAATGGAAAGCATGTAGTTTGATTCTGCTATGTAACCATTTTCCATCCTCCTCAACTTGAGTGATCAAGTCATGCAAACTCATCCATAAATTCCTTGTCCACAATCGCCTTCCACTCAGTCAAAGGTGCTCCTATGAACCTGTAGGTATCCAATGCTACTTAATGCACATTGCCTGCTTCACACATTAAAAGCTTGTGGTTATTAAGTAATAAGGATTATATTCCTGGAACTGGGAGGAAGAATATTTATGCCCTACCTGGTTATAACATCAATCCCATGTCCCTTCTTTCTCTGCAGATTCCAAGAAGAGACAGCAACAATGGATTGGCCCAAGTGGGGTGAACCAAAATGGTAAGAAATCACCTGCAAAGCAGGGAACAAGAATCCACAGTCTAATTTCTCCTGTAAGTCAAAGGAAGTAGGCATTTGCATGTCTCATAACGTTTACAGGGACACTGAATATGCACTTTTACTGATGCAGGTTTTATGTTCTCATTATAAATGGATGTAAGTGCCCAGCTTTGTGATCCTAGCAGGATTTGATATCAGAAAAGTAGGGGCCATACCTATCTTTCGATCAATACACTTTGGAGGGGGGGTTAAAAGAATAACCACTGTTTACTTTGGGATAGTGGGACTTTTAATCTACCTGGCAAGCAGAATTAAGAGCGAAATAGTTGCCCTCCATCCCAAAGCGAGTCTCTCTTCTGGGAAAGTAGATGGGCAACCTTACGGTATCTACATCTACATCATTAAATGTAAAGCACAATCCTGTTGGATGATGGGCAAACTCATGCCACCCCAATCACGCAGTCTTTATGGGCATAACTTTATCTTCCATCTATCTGAATAAATCAAAATGGAAGAGATCAGATCTTCACATTTGTCAGACTCATAAGACATTGACTGATATCTGTGAGTTACAGGCTGCTTAAAGAGTCTGTCATCCTGTAATTCTAGCCTCTAAGGGAAGAGTGATAAGTCTCTTCTAAATGTACTCTTAAATAGCACCCTGTTATTTATGATTGGGCCATATATTTTACAACTAAAGTTGACATTCAAAGACAGATCTGCTGGTTCCTGGTCAATATTCTGCTCCCAAAGGACTCAGTTTCAAATTCCTCACAAGAGGAAGAAAAGCAGCCACTCCTTTTAAAGTCTCACTGTCTTTGCAGTGGATGCAACGTTATTGAACTCGAAACATATGGCAGAGAGAAACTGCAAAAGAATTCCAGGCAAGACTAATGTCATTTGTTTCCTAGAAAACACGAGGATTCTAATGTAAATGCCACAAATGCCTCTTCTGATTATGAACAGAGATCTAGTGTCATAATCACAATTTCATTGAAACACGTGGGTGGAATAATAAATGTGTACTGTTCAGTTATTGTCCAGACCCTGTCCCAAATAAATGGTTTGGCTCCCTCTAGAGGCGGGAAGTAGCTTGGCAGCCCAATGAAGACTGCAGTGCAGACCTTCTGCTTTTGCTGATATCCAGCCAAGAAACCCTTTGAAGAACCAGACTGGACATAATGTTAACTATGTGACTGTAATCCTAATCTTTAATTTTAGAATACTGAGTAGCAACAATGAAAGGCCTTGATCAGGATGTGTGAGCACTTATTTGAAACTACTCTCTTCTTCCACATCACTGAGGGTGCTTTTGATCCTGGGTTGGAAGTGCAAGTGACTTCCATTTTAAAAGGAAGAGGGGTGTGTGCACATTTTTGCACTGAAAGATGTGTGCACAGAATTGGGGGTGCTGTTGAACGTGATTTCAAAGGCTGAGCCACAAAAGCATCTATTTTGTTGAATTAGAACTGTTTAAGAATATGTGGTTGGTATTAGCATGTAGCAATAGCAGTAGCACTTAGACTTATATACTGCTTCACAGTGCTTTGCAGCCCTCTCTAAGCAGTTTACAGAGTCAGCATATTGCCCTCAACAATCTGGGCTCTCGTTTTGCCAGCCTCAGAAGGATGGAAGGCTGAGTCAACCTTGAGCCAGTGAGACTCAAACTGCTGAACTACTGGCAGCTGGCATTCAGCAGAAGTAGCCTGCAGTACTGCATTCTAACCACTGGGGCACCACAGTTCTTAATAACATTGGATGTACAAGAGCATGGACATTATTTCTTTCAATAAACTCTTTTGAATGTGGCAGCTCCCGGATAATACTCTGTTTTTAAAAGGTGTCATAAAGAGCACTGCTCTATCAGGGTTTTTCCCTACAAGCTATAATTTTAATTTCAACTGGTCACAAAGTCAGGAAACCTGTTTCCTCAAGTGAATGAAGAATTGGAGCTACTAAACAAAATGGTAACATAAGCGGGATTCAATATATAGAAAGTAAGGCCACATTATGTTTTCCTTTAGTTTCATTCCATCGCAAGAGCTCCACTGCCTTCCAGTCACATATTGAAAACCCAGTTGTTCAGGAAGAGCGGAACAAAGCCTCCAAGACTTATCTCTCACCCTATGCAGGTAACATTTTCTTGCTTAAACTAAAAGTGTGTGTCAATTCTTAAAAAATATGTATCATTGGTCCAAAGATGTTGAGCCAAGGCATCCTAGTCTCACAACAGATCAGATGGACAGATCCGATAGTAAATCTAATAAATATGATGATGACTTCATCCCAGTTTGATTCCTTTCTTTCCCCATATATTGGAGTCCAATTATATGTAGCTGTGCCAGCCAAATCATTGATCTAAACAGGCAGAGCATCTTGACCCATGATAATGTCCAGTTTTATACCAGGCTATGAGTATGTATTATTTTAACCCCACTGTGGGCAATTGATTCATAAGTTATATTCAGGTACCTCATATCAAATCAGGACACTACAACATGTACACTTTGCTCTGTTGTCAGTGTAATTTTTTCTGTGTTTTCAGCAATATCCTAATGGAGGGCCAGTTTCTCAATAATCTATATTTTATGATGAATCCAGATCAGGCGTGGTTTCTGGCAGCTACTACTGATGGTTTGCTCATGGGCGTGCTGTAACGTACATGTGCTTGATGTGCACTGCGCACACATGCATAATACAATAAAAATTGTTCTGCACATGCGTAGAACAAAAAACAAGATGGCATTGCCTACTGCACCACCCGGAGAACCAGTTCCGGGGGCGTGCCAAGCCTGGGTCGCTGCCAGTTCCAGCGACTCAGGCCGCCAAACCACTATTGGTTCTGCCAAACCGGTAAAAAATGGTAGGAATCCAACACTGATCCAGATGAAGTAAACTAATCAACTCTCTTTATGCCAGTAGAAATCTTCTGTTTGTGATTATTCTTTGTGAACAAATTAGGAATGGGTAGTTTTCCATTTTTGCACAAAATCAAAAACTGTACTGATGTTAATATTGGTCCGTGCCATATTTAAAAACTTGTTCTGATTCTTGCAAGTAATCACAGTGACAGACATAAGAGAAGGCAAATGTTTTTTGTTACCTATAAGGCCATTAGAATTGTAATTTTGGTTATTATTTGTGATCCTATGAAAGAACAGATTAGATAGGAGAGAAGAGAGAGAGGAAGAAGAAGAAGAAGAAGAAGAAGAAGAAGAATGTAGATAGATAGATAGATAGATAGATAGATAGATAGATAGATAGATAGATAGATAGATAGCCGAGAGAAAGAGAGAGAGATCTAATTTAGCAATCACAATTGGATCAGCAACTAGGTCTTTAAATAAAACAGTCACTAAGTGAAACTGCAACAGTGTTTCACATTTTTAGTTTTCTTTGCTTTATAGCAGTGGAGGGTTGCTAACCAGTTCTCTACCAGTTTGCTCATGCGTGCACAACGCTTCTGCACATGCATAGAAGCTTCTGCGCATGCGCAAAAATGTCCAAGCAGGTGGGCGGAGCCTTCTGCTGCTGCCACTACCGTGTTTCCCCAAAAATACAACAGGGTCTTATTTTCTTTTTACCTACAAAATATGGCTTGGGCTTTATTATGGGGGGAGGGTTTATTGTTTTGGGGTTGTGGGCGGCTGCTCTCTTGCGAGCGGGCTCCCAAAGAGCTGGGCACAGCCTCATGGGTGAATGGCTGTGTGGTGCTGTCGCAGCAGCGCAACACAACAGCCATGAAGCAACCACGCTCATGAGCAGCCACCCGGCAAACCCCCTTTGCAGCCAGGCACAGCGCCATTCACTGACCTAGGGATATCGCCAAGCTGCGTGAATGCCTGTTCGCCGCCGCCTGGCTCCCGCAGCTTGGTGCCTTCCAAATGCCAGTGAATGGCGCTCTGCATGGCTGGAGAGGGGGGTTGTGCAAGCGGCTGTTCCGCTTTTGCTCACCCGCCTCCCAGCCTCAGGATGCATGGCCCAGCTCTCATTAGGGAGCCAGGGCACTGCCGCCGCCAACCCAGCTTGGCTTTTTCTGTGGCTTCCAACCCGAATCTTTTGGCAGTGGCCACTCTGGAAGCCGCAGAAAAAGCCAAGCTGGGATGGCGGCAGCCGTAGAGGTGCCCTGGCTCAGTAATGAGAGCTGGGCCATACATTGGGAGGTGGGTGAGCAAGAGCGGAACAGTTGCTCACGCAACCCCCCTCTCCAGCCATGCAGAGCGCCATTCACTAGCATTTGGAAGGCGGCAAGCCACAGGAGCCGGGCAGCGGCGAACAGGCGCTCACATGGCTTGGTGATACCCCTAGGGCAGTGAATGGCGCTGTGCCTGGCTGCAAAGGGGGTTTCCTGGGTGGCTGCTTTTGAATGTGGTTGCTTCATGGCTGTTGTGTTGCGCTGCTGTGACAACGCAACACAGCCATTTGCCCATGAGGTTGTGCCCGGCTCTTTGGGAGCCCGCTCGCAAGACAGCAGCTGTCCGGCAACCCCCCTCTTCAGCTGGGCACAGCGCTGCTCACCAACCTAGCGGTATCCCGAAGGTGCCAAGCAACGCGGTCACCTTTGCCTCCCCCCAGGTTCCCACAGCTTGGCACCTTCGGGATACTGCTAGGTTGGTGAGCGGTGCTCTACCTGGCCGGAGGTGGGTGGTTGTCCAGGGGGCTTATATGCAGGGGGGGCTTATATTTTTGCCCACCAGAAAAATGTGGCATGGCTGTATTATAAGGACATGTCGTATTTTTGGGGAAACACGGTACCAGTTCGGCTGAACCAGGAGCAGTCCACCTGTGCTTTATAGACCAGCAAAGATCATAAATGTCAGGACTGGTTACAAACTCACTTTTTCATCATGACTGCAAGTCACAGTGCAAGGTAGTCACTAAACAAAGACTACCTGTGCATAGTGGGTGTATAGTTAAACCTATGGGATAATATTAATAAGCCAGTACCTGGCCAATATTTGGATTGATTGCCCCTTGGAAAATCCAGGGCTCTAAGTCAGATTGGGAAAAGCATTCTGAAAAAAGGCAATGACAATCCTCTTTTTTACCATTCTAAGAAAATGACAAAGATTCGAGTCACCAGGCATCAGATTGGACTTGGAGACATCCTTACATGGCAAAGATAAACCAATGGTTTGTGTTAAAAGCAAAATCCTCTGAGTTCATCTTTCTATAACTTGCCATGTGCTCCACCTAGTGTCCATAAATAATATCTTTCTTCATAGTTTACTTTTTGCTATATTTTGCACAGCTACCCTTCTTGATTAGTTTCCATCCGTTTTTCTTGTCTTTCCTTTGGTGCTCTGAAAACAGGTTGATACCTTCTTCTTTGTGGTAGCCCCTCAAATATTGGAACATTGGAACACCACGTCACCCCAGTCCTTCTTTTCATTAGACTAGACATACCCAATTCCTGCAACCATTCTTCATATGTTTTAGTTACCAGCCCTCTAATCATCTTTGTTGCTTTAAGCATTTTTGTAGCTCTAAGGGAAATCATTTTGATGCAAATATTTCAGTCATATAGGAAGGGTAACCTATTGGCACCAATTGGTGTTTCATATGTGATTCCATACTGAGGATTGTTGGTTTGTTTATTTTTTTCTCCTGCATGTTCCAGCTATGGAAAGGGCAACCAACAGATCTTCCAGCCCTTTGGATAATTCCTCTGACAGTGATTATGACTTATGTTCCGCGCAGAAGCTGTAAACTCTGCGAAGTATGGATGACACTCCTTCCTTCACCTGAAGTATGGTGCTTAAGGTGGCATTGAAGTGATTCTTACTCCATCCTCAGCTCACTGGATGACTTCAGGCCCGTCACTCTCTTTCAGGCTTAAACAGCCTCATAGGGTGGTTGTGGGGGAAAATTGAAGGGGAATCCAATATATATGGTTTAAGCTTCTGAGCCAAAGAATCAATACAAATCTAACAATGGAATATTCTTTGAATGAATAGTAAATTCCAGGGACTTGTAATATTTGTAATATAGATCTTGGATAGATGAGTTTTTCTCTTAGCTTATGAGTTGATTCTTTATCAACAAAATGAAAAGATGGATTAATCGTTTTCCCTAGGGTCAAAGTTTAATACTTTGCTTAAAAAATGAGTTGACTTTTTCTCTTTTTCCTTCCCTTTCCTTATTTTTTGTACTAAAATTCTAAAAAAATATTTGTTAGACATATGTGGAAGACAAAACTTACCATCTGAAAACAAAACATTTCTTTAATTATATTAATTATAGTACACTTTGAAATAATTCATGGAGTTCATATTCTCCTTTGCAGATACAGAAAGTTCAGTAAAAATAAAAACCGTTTATGGGAGGAAGAATTTTATTGTCCAACACAAAATCCACTTGTTCTGGAACATGTACATTTTCTCTACCTCCACAGTGATAGCAAAACCAGTCCACCAACTTACCCATACACTGAGCATTAGCGTGTTTTTCCCAGCCAGTTATATTAAATTTCAATTCCTATAAATAGAAATCTCCCAATTTCAGTCACTGAAAACCAATTTGGATTATAGACCACTTGTAGGAATAACATCCTCCTACCTGACCATCCAAAATAAGGCTAGGCGATCACTGGCAAGTCAAATAACAAAGATGTATGCATCAATTAAAATTTCAAGAAGATACAGTATATATGAAGAAGCCATATGTACAGAAATGTGGATACACGGTTTATCACCTTACTGAGGTACTGAATTAGAGTAAGTCAGAAGAGTTAATAATTATTAGCTGGAAAGTTCAAATAACATACGTCTCTTGGCCAGAGCATTTAAATCAACGTTCCTCTTTTTAGGGTGTACAGAATCTACATATACATGTAAAGAAATTGCAAGTCTTTGTGTTATAAATATGTTGCAATTAGATAAATATTGAAACTAATTAGTGAGAGCTTTAATAATTGTTAGATCTATTGAACTGTCTTCAAGTAACACCAGTTTAATTTGAATGGTGGGGGGGACGGGGGGAACTATTGCAATCAACTGTCAACTCGCAAAGCTCATTAATTAGGGAATCTGTCAAGACTTTGACAGCAACATTTACGTAGCATAGATGACATCCATTCTTTATTTGGTTATTGACATTAGTGACTGCAAAAAGTTGCTCCATAGTTCCAATTTTCACATCTGGTTCACAACTGATTTCTAATATTAATTAATGCTGTGTTATTCATATATTTAAATTGCTGTACATTTCAGAGGTATGATGTTAAGAAAGGGAGAAAGGGAGGTAGCCTCTCCAACCATTTAATATATTTTGGGTGGGTCAAATGATTGTATCAAACATTTTCAATCAGCTCTATAGATAGTTCTACATTTGGAAGGGAAAGGTTTTTTTTAAATGATACAGAAGCTCATTCTTTGTGCAGTAGTTAATACATGGCCTCCATGTTTTTGCTTTCTTGAGCTGCGGTTCACTATCATCTGAAATAACCATATGCACAGATACAGCTATGTACTTTTTCTTCTGATGGTTTGCAGCTTACAAAAGCTTATATCTTTTAATAAAATGTGTTACCGATAGAAGATAATCTTTTTGGTGCATGGGGTCGGATTGTGGGGTCCTTTGTGCTCTCTGAGCTTTGTGGTTGACTTATAGATGTTTTATCACCAAACTAGGTCACATTATCAGCAAAGATGTAAAAGAAAAAGAACTAAAACACATCAAGGAAGCCCTCAAAACATGTAGTTATCCCAAGTGGGCCTTCATCAAATCTCAAAAAGGACCCTACAGGAGCTCCTCCATAACAGACAACAAAGAGAAAAATAAATAAAGCAATGTTGCCATTCCATATATTGCAGAAATATTGGAAAAGCTCAGGAGGCTCTTCAGCTAACACAACTTACATGCAGAAGTTTGTCCATCCCAAGGATAAAATACCCAGACACAAACTGAGCAACATAGTATATGCAGTACAATGCAGTGAGTCATATGCAGATCTATACAATGGGGAAATAAAACAGCCAGTTCATAAATGTATGGCACAACATAGGAGAACAAACCCATCAGGACAAGAGTCCATCTGTATTTAAAAGACAAAGGCCACTTTTTTGAAGACAGCGAACTCCACATTTTGGACAGGGAGGACTGCTGGTTTGAAAGAGGGGTCAAAGCAGTGACATGCAGTCAGGGGAGGCAGGGGAGGCAGAGCCTCACCACTGTCATCATGAAAAGAAAAAAAATGTAAAAGGAAAAAGGCTGAGCTAGTTGCTGCCACAGTGGATGACTCTGCTTAGTGCTTAACTGTTTAAAAAAGTCTTCTCTTGCCTCCTCCTATAGAGGATGTTTTTTTAGAGGCTTTTTTAAACAGTTAAGCAC